ACAACAGATAAATGTGCTTGTGTTTTGTTGCCTTTAGTAGAATCCTGCTTACCAGATGATCTTCTTAGAGCTTGGCAGAGATGCAGTTTGTCTTCAGATGGAGAGAATAAAGAATCATCAGAAACAGAAGAGCAGACATTGAAGAGATTGCGGCAGTTCATCAAATCAGAAGTTGAAGGTGAAGAAAGAATTGTTTTGGCTAAGACTAGTTACGGTACGAGTAAGAGGGTAAGCCCTAGAAGTAATATTGATAAAACATCAAACAATATGCCTTCAGCATCTTGCTTGACTAACAAGTCAAAAGAGTTCAATTGTATATTCTGTTCAGAAGCTCACAAAAAAGCAGATTGCCTTCAGGCCAAAAAAAATGGATTTTAGTAAAAAAAGACAAATTGTTTTGGATAAAAAAGCTTGTTTTACATGTCTATTTCAGGGACATACATCAAAATTCTGTATAAGGCCTTTAAAATGTAGTATTTGTTACCGTAAACACCCTACCTTGATGTGTAATAAGGAACAAGAATTGCAAGAAAAATCAAACAGGAGTACCGGTAATGAGGTCAAAGATCTATCTAACTTAGGACAACAAACAAAATCACAGATTTATCTGCAGACATTGAGGGTCAATCTGATCCATGAAGGTTTGATTCGTCCTGTTAGAGCCTTAATTGATACAGGTTCGATGAGATCTTATATTCTTGAGTCCACAGCATCTGAAATTGGTATGTATCCCGAGGGACAAGAGAGTTTAACTCATTCACTTTTTGGAGGTGTTAAGACGGATGTTGTTTCACATAACACGTTTAAAATCATTCTTGCCAATAGGAATAATGAATATAAGTGTAGGTTCAAGGTTTTAGATCAACCTCTTATAAGTGAAAATATCCCTAGTATTAGGAGAGGTCCAGAACTTAAGGAAATAGAAGCTGCTAACATTGTTCTTTCGGATGTGGCTGGATCAGAAGGTAAAATTGAAGTTTTAATTGGTGCAGATGTTGCTGGTAAGTTGTTCACAGGTAACAAAGTTCAGCTGAATAGTGGACTTGTAGCAATGGAAACCTTTCTAGGCTGGACAATAATGGGTCGCTTATCTAGTGTTGTGGAAACTGATAACAGTAAGGCAGAATGCAATACATCATGTGTTAGTATGTTTTCTTTTAGTGATCCTTCTGAGGATATTTCGATGTTCTGGAAATTAGAGACACTTGGTATTACTGATCCCGTAGAACAGAAGTCAAAAGAAGAGTTACACGAGATGACACTAGAGCATTTTAGGAATACGGTGAGTGTTAACAACGAAGGTCGTTATGAAGTGTGCTTACCTTGGGTCGAGGTCATGCTTCCTAATAACTTGGAACTTTCAAAGAAACGGCTTCAATCAACGATTGACAAAACTAAAAATGGTGGTTACTTCAATAAGTATCAACAAGTGTTTAGAAGTTGGCAGACTGAAGGAATCGTTGAATCAGTTCCGAGTGACGAGGTAGATCACATCAAGCACTTCATACCACATAGAGCAGTTATCGAGGACAGTGCGACTTCACCAGTGAGACCCGTATTTGGTGCTTCAGCACATGTTAAAGGGTGGGAGTCCAACAATCAACATGCTCCGAAGAGAGCTTTAAAGAAAACTAGTTTGAACAACGAAGAAATGTCAACTACATTATGCGAATGTGAAAGTGTCATCAATGCTCGACTGCTTACTTACATGTCGGATGATCTGAATGAGTTGAGTCCCATTACTCCATCAATGTTTTTGAAAGATATAAGCGATGTGAGACAACCCGACTTAGACGCTATTGAGGAGACCAATTTACCAAAGAAAGCTGTATACAGAAAGAAAATAAGAGAAGGACTGAAGTCAAGATTCAGAATCGAGTATCTTGGTCAATTATCACACCATAATAATGTCAAAAGTTACCGAGAACCTGAAGTGGGGGAAATAGTACTCATAGGTAATGACTTTGACAAGCGGATAAACTGGGTAATTGCCAGAATCATTGAAGTAATGAAAGGAAGAGATGGAATTGTACGCACAGTAAGATTGAAGACACCAACCAATGAATTGATTCGCCCAGTACAACGTTTATACCCATTGGAAATAAACTCTAACGAAGAGAGAAAAGTAGTTACAAGAAGAAGTACACGATCCAAAGTACAAGTTAATCAACCATAAGTTAATTAACTTGGGTGGGAGGATGTTATATATGCTGTGTTGGTTTAACCTATAGTCAATGGTTTAACTTACTGGTAATTGCCAGCTGTTGTCAATGTTAATATTGTTTGCTTCATAATAATTAACACACATGTTATTAATTTAAAGGAGAGAATGTAAACAAATGAGTTGAGTTTATGTTGGCTTATAAAGAAGATGTTAGTAAAATGGTTAAAATAAATTATTGTCACTACTTTCACTGAGTACTCATTGTTTTTTGTCAGTTCCATTCGTAACAGTCAGTTTTAAACATTTTGCCCTTAGGGGTAGCGGGGGTAGGGGGTAGCTCAAAATGTTCAAATAGTAAGTATAGTCGAGTTTGGTATCATTTTGTAGGTCTTGACAAAACATAACAAATAACATAAAGAAAATATAAATCGGACCAATAATAACAAATTGGCAGCTAAAAACGATTGTGACAATGGTTATTTAAAGTAATTTTGAACTGCTATTTTGTTATTAATGGTCCGATTTCTATTTTCTTTATGTTAATTGTTATGTTTCGTCAAGACCTACAAAATTATACCAAACTCGACTATACTTGCTATTTAAACATTTTTAGCTACCCCTTACCCCCGCTACCCCTAAGGGCAAAATGTTCAAAACTGACCATAAATATTGTAGCCCTTCATATCCAAACAAGTTGCCGCAAACCGATTTCAAATATCTCAAATAGATAAAAAGTTAAAGAGGGTGCAAGATAATTTGTTTGCCACCCTCATGGTTATTTGGATTTGAAACGTTTTAGGGCGCCATTTGGTTATTAGTGAGCCGATTTTGGTTTTCTTGATGTCAATGCTTATGTTTCGTCAAAACCTATAAAATGATACCAAACTCGACTATACTTGTCGTTTGAAAATTTTGAGCTACCCCCTACCCCTAAGGGCAAAATTTTCAAAATTAACCATAATTATTGTAGCCCCTCATATCAAAGAAGGTTGCCGCAAACCGATTTCAAATATCTCAAATGGTTGAAAAGTTAAAGTCTTCCAGTCCTGCCGACGGCAATGTACGAATTGACAGGCCTATCTGTAATCGTTTTGTGTTTTGTATTAAATGTTTGTCGTATTCTGACGACACCTCCAAAAGTGGATCTTTTTTAAATCCTGACAATGGTGGAGTTAAAGAACCACCAAAACATATGTAGCAAGTAAAATTCGACACTGGTATATAGGATTGTCTGGCAAGGTCCGTTTTTACCATTCTTAGAAGCTATCTTAATTACGAACGGCAAAATGTTGTTGGTGGTGATGGTGAGCTACTTAGAAACACTTTTTTGGGCTGCTTATACAAAATTATACATTCATTATGACAGCTAGCAAAAAAATATCCCCCCCAAAAATTCCTGTGGCGCAAACGCGCCACGGTACACCCCCCTCTGGGCACCCCTGCAAACTACACACATTTACAATTTACTCACTCACACACTTCACAGTAAATTGTTGAATATTATATTGCTGAAAACTGAACATTTTTTTAACCAAGACAGGTTTAAGTTAGGAACTAAGACTTCTTCAAGTCCAAAATATAGCCAAAATATAAATAGCTCTTTAAACATTCACCACTGCAATAGTACAAACATTTTAATGCACATGGACCAGCGACGCACATATACGATGGTCAGTTTCTACCCATAGTACACATTAAAATAGACTGACGTCGCATATTTGCGTCGGTGTTCCAATGTTATCAAAATATTCATATCTTTGTAACGGTCTATTTGAAGGTCCTGAATTCTTTGCACTAGTCTACAGGGATATCTGTTGCACATCTGCATCGCTTGTTCTGTGGATATGATGATTGGTGACGTCATATGACAGTTGGAAAAACTGTTCTTTACTTTGCTGCATCACTTGGTATATATGCTGCATTATCCTATAAAGCTTTTATATTTGTTCAATTATAAACTGTTCTTGAAAAATCTGTGGTTTTAAGTTTGACTTACTTTCACCTAAAAACATTTTTTTTTAATGGCGTTTGAGTTATTTCAAGAAAAATATAAAAATGTTAAAAATGTTGTCTTCGCTATAAACCGGGCATCACAAATATGCAACATTACAAAAGGTTATCAAAAATATTTAAAAAACAAGAATATATTATTTCTTTGTGTAGGCCTAAGGTTAAATTGTATACCTCGGTCAGTGGTAGGTAGCGGACGTGTTAAAACCTTAATTGCTATAGGACTATACTGTCATTATTCAATTAATTAACAATATTGTTTACCTAAAAACACGATTACTAGAAAAATACCGGTATGGATCATAAACATAAACATTGCTTAAATGGAACTGCCAAAACATATGTTCAATGCTATTAGTATAGGATTCGGGCCAACAACGTCATTTGTTTATGTTTATGTTGATCCATACCAGTATTTTTCTAGTAATCGTGCCTAAAAATCAGTAAAAAAATATAAAAATATAGTTCAGAGGCCAAAATTTGGTTTAAATCCTACTTATGGTCAAATAATCCTGTTTTCGGGATAAGAATACTGCGTATGAAAACACTGATCTCAATATTTTAAGGGCTGAAATACTTTAAACAATAGGTATAAGATGATTTAGTCATAATAGTAATACAAATTAATGATGGTTTCTCAACATAGGTGATTGACTTTTAAAAAAAGGAGGATAAAAATCCCCTGAAAGATATGAAGTAACATTAACATTTAAAATTGATATATATCCCTCTAAAAGCAAAGGACTGCCACATGCCCTCCCCTCTCCTAATTGCAGCAACTGGTTTCACAACAAACATGTCTTGTAGTGAAGTTTTTAACACTGACCTATGATATATTGATATTCCTTCAGTGGAGCTAGCCTAGCAATAATAGCTTCTCTATCCCATGGCTTCTTTTCTGGTGCATTCTTCTCACTTTCTAGAGCAGCTTTTTCCTGAAAAATCCAAATATAAAATTATTTCTGGTCTTAGTGGGGATCTAGACAGTGGAGTCACATTAACAAGCTTGTGGTGTTTGAGTTAAAAGTTATCCCTCATCATCCCCCCAATTACAACAGGCCTGCACGGCGCACATATACACATATTCTTTTATCAAAATGTGAATTCTTAAAGAAACTTGTGGGATTCTTATGGCTAAACAATTTTGCTTAAGCATCATTACCTCACTAGAGTCCAGTTTGACAGTCTCCAGGCCTTCTTCGCCTTTCTCGTCTGAGTGTTTCGTAGATCCGTTGCTGTCGTCCAATGTCTCCATGGAGGCTAGACCTGCAGGCTTGCTGGGAGTCGAACTTCCTTCCTCAACATCTGGCTCCTACAAAGAAGAGATATGTTGTATTAGGTATGTATTTATTAGTACCTTACTATTTTCAAAACTATTTTCCTAAAAGATCGTTTTGCTTAATTTAAATACTGATTACGCTTCTAGCTTTGTTTGTCTTATTTTGTGTTTACTTCTGTACAACTGGTTTTTGCATGTACCACCATAGACAAAAAGAATGAAATATAGACCGTCAGCTGTGCTGTGGTTACCATAGGTTCTGGCGCATACCGCTGGGAGCACCACGGTAGTTACAGCGTACGCGCTACGTAAACTAGAGCGGTGTGCGCCGGAACCTATGGTAACCATGGTAACCGCAGCACGGCTGACAGTCTATATTTCATTCTTTTTTTTTGTCTATGGTACCACTAATTCAGTATTGGAAGTTATATTTTTGTCATGCCGACTATATTAGTAAATAAGGGGATTTTAATAAGTGTCAGTCAAGCATAGGTCTAGGTGATTCATGTTCTTATAGCTCATGAATCCAACCAAATCGTTAATATATTATGCATTTACAACGGCATGGTTAAAAACATAACTTCATGTACAAGTACTTGAAACTCCACTAAAACTATTAAGGACCAAATAAACTTGCAATTTTTAGTTAGAACTCGGACAAGACGTCAAGCACTCATTGGTAGCTGGAAAGTTCCACTCACAAAGGGCTTCAAAAACATTTTTGAGCTAGCAGATAATTGAAGAATTCAATTTTGTATTAAAATATGCTTCAGGCAAATGTTTGTTGAATGTGATAAGTTTTGTAATGTGTAAGTTGAACATTTTGCTTGAAGGTCCTAATTTTAATAAACAAAAGTGTATGCCTACCTTGGTAGAGCGTAGTTTCCTTGGCAGTACGTTGACTAGAGGTAGTTTGATGGCGTGTAGGAAGCCTGGCCTCTTCTCCAGCGGTACATCTCCTCCCTCGGGGTTAGAGCTAGCAGACGACTCTTCCGGCTGAAAGATTAAAATATCAATTAAGCTTTGTCACTTGATTGGTACTGTATAAGTTTTGCACAAATTTAATAAACCTATGAGCAGATATATTTGTCCCAATAGGACAACACTGGAAAAGATTAAAAGAAGCATATTATTATGGGTAAAAAGTTGTGGAACAAACTATCGCCAAGTATAATTCAACTCCGAATTAAGAAGTTTTAAGAATGCAAATTATGAACGACTTGTCAGAAACCCCCTGTATTGTATTTATTTTATTTTGCTTTACAACCAATGACCAAATTCCAGTCTTGAATGTGTTTTTCAGCGTGTTTATGCTTATCTGCGTTTGTGCCATTATTTATTTGCATGCTGTGAAAGTTTAGGTGTCCTAAAACCTTTGACCTTTGTTTCAGTTTAATTTTAGTTGATTGAACTTGACTTGTGCTTCTACGGCTGATGCACCAACGATGGTCAAAGGAATTTGCAAGGGTTGAAAAAGTCCTCCCTCCTAAGAGTGCCCATCAGTTGCACCGACAGTCAACATTCTGCTTGGATGCTCCTTCCCCTCCTCGAACGCTTTTATATACCTATCCCCTCTTTTATGTTCCATCTGCTAAATATTTAATTTAGTCTGCGCTAAATATTAACCATATATAAGGGAATTAGTAGGTAACCCTTTCTTTGCTATGAGGTAAAGAGTAACAAACAAACATTATAAACACATAGACTGATATCAACACACTCTATCATATAATTTTACCATAACACGTTTATCTCTTTGTCTTGAAATATATTTATTGAATGAATTTTATTTTTGTAAACCTAACCTAACCTAATCTAACCATTTACCATACTAACTACATTTCAATGGGAGGGGAGGGCGTCGCGTCAGGGATCTTTGACCGCCGGTGCAACTGGGCATCGCCCTAAAATGACCATCGGTGCACAGGGCCATCCGCAGGGGGGGGGGGGCAAGCTGCCCCGGGCGCCGTGGCTGAGGGGGCGCCGCGCAGCGGCTATTTGTAGTATTACATACTGTAGTATTAAAAAATGTGAATGCTACTATTACTGGTGGGGAGGGGGCGCCATGACCACATTTGCTACGGGCGCCGCCAACCCTAGGGACGGCCCTGTAGGTGCAACTGATGGGCATTCGAGATTAGGGCCACCCCTGACCATCGGTGCAACTGGGCAACTGCCACTTCTACTAACATATGTATTAATATAATTGACTGTGTCTCATGCATTTATATAATGTCTATAGATGAATAAATACCATTTCATTTCACAACTATGCAGCAGCTCTTTCACATCTATTGGGTGTTATTTTGTTTTAAACTGAAGATGGGAAAAAACTCCTTGTTGACAATTTAGGATAAGTAATTGCAATACCAAATCTAGTTATAACTGTCTTAACTAAATATGTTGCACACTTATATGTTTGACTCTTAGTGAAGGTCACTCTGCTTTTAAAAGCATCGGGGGACTGGAATACCAATCTTTTGTATCTGTTCCAATCATTATTACTAGTTATGGCTTTTTATCACTTTAAGTTTTAGTTTTATTTCAAAACATTCATCAATGACAGCTCTAGTAAACAATTACTAAACATAGAATAGCCATAAAGTTTAAAAATCGCACAATTTGGTGAAGGAAGAAAAGAATGTAAAATATTTACTTTTTTCTTTTTTGCAAATGGATTTATAAATGGGAACAAAGTCTTTTTGGTTGCAGGCGTGTCGGTTTTCTCATCGTCACTTCCAACAGTGGTCGCTGTGCAAGGAGGTTCGAGCAGATCCTTCTCTTCGTCTTTTTCATCTCCGTCCTGAAAATCAGTATTAAATATACTTTCACTCTTTTCAGGGTGGAAAGCATTGTGGGGTTTATGGCCATAGCACAATGTTTCTCAAATTGGTATGGTTGAATTAATGTTATAAACACAGCTGTTTACTCATTAGAGTAATAGAGATAGAGACACATAAAACGTTGCTTAAATTTAAATCAATGCTCGATTTGCGGAACGGCTTTCTTCTCACTTGGAAAGATAAAAATTCTGACTTGAATAGGTACATAACTAGGTACTAATCATATTAGGGAGAAACATTTTGTGCGAGTAGTACTTAAACTTAGTGAAGATCATTAAAGTGTATCTTATTTTTGTTTAGTTGCAAACTTTTACATCACAGAGTTGTTATTATTTCAGCGATCAAATGTCTATGTTTGTAATAAAAAAAATTATAAAATGTGTCTGTTTACGATAATCTTTTAACAATTAAACCCAATTAACCACAACGGAGCAAAAGCTCGGTACCCCGGTACTTGTGTTAGTCTGTCCTATATTTTTTTTTTTTTTTAATTTTCTGAATTCTTTCAAATCTAGACTAAGTGATTTATAATTTAGCAATGATACAAATTGGAGCTGTTATGAATGTTAAGCAGTTGTGATTGTGATGCATACTGTTGTCTCGTGAGGAAGTAAAGACTAAAGCTGTGCCAGAAGACGAGACAGCATCCTGTTATCAATCTATCTACATCTAGACACCCTCCACTCATGTACATGACCTATTTATAAACAGATTGGCACACTAAGTTTCTAATGGTGAAAAATTGCCCACCAATCTTCAAATCACTTATTCCATTAAATAAAAAAAAAAACGTAACTGTTGGGCTAAAACCATAATTATTTGTTTTAAAAGAGGTGTGAGTAGTATTTTTTATTATTATTATTTTTTTTTTTAATAAGGCAGGTCCAAACTTACTAGGTTTTAGACTATATAATGCCCCCTTCGCAAGATATACATATATAGCATTTTGAACGGATGGTGTTTTTGGCCTCTGGCAACATCAAAATGAAAAAGTAAATCGGTCCCATGCCTAGGTCTTACCGTGCCACCTACAGTAATAGCTACTTTCCTATAGGGAAATTCGCTAAAAAGGGGAAAGTTCAAAAAGTGAAGATTAAATCAAACAACATGAGATCTTACACTCAAGCTCGAACTATAATGTTAGCCCTTTAAACAACGTAGAAAACTAGTGCACCTGTTGCGATTGCAAAGTATTACAGGCGTTATTTCAAAACAAATAACAGTCACAATTTCCGATGACTTAAAAGAGTCAAATCAAAGATAATGTAATCAATCACTCCACTGCCACTAGTTATCGAAACTGAAAACGAACGTTCTTGTGTATATCAAGTATTTGCTCTGAACAGCTGTTTGAGTATGCAATTAATACAAACAATTATTCGTCTGTTTAAGTAAACAAAATCTTAACTTCATTAGAAATACATTGGGATTTTGATGGCCCGTGGACTTTTATTACAGGAATTGGGGAAAGGGGGCGTATACACAACGTCGTTTGTAAAAATCAATCCGTACAAATTGCCTTCACGTATTATTTCATACAAATTGCCTTCATGTATTATATATAAGGATGCTTTCTCTCCTGCATATTTGCACTGATATTTAGCAATAAGGATGACACTATAACTAAACAAAGAAACACATTAAGTTGATGATCAGCTGGAAAATTGTCGGCAGCTTTGGTTCCCATACTCTCAGCCAGGGTATAATTACTGCCATTAGTGGAAGTGGTCTTTGTTAACCTTTGACATTGTAACAGTTTTATGGTTCACTACAACAACTGTAGGCAGTTGTGGATCTTCTCCAGGATAGGTGTGAATGTGATGTATTTTGAGGCAGAACAAGCTGATTCCAGCTTGGAAACAAAAATACAAAATTAAAAGAGTGTTTTGTACTGAAGAACTATAAGACTATCCACATATCCACATATATGCAGTATAATATTTTCTGGTACTATAACCATAACCTAAAATCTAGAAACCCTCCTACCCCTCTTGTAAACCCTTTTTGGACCAAATGTCCTTGCTCGATTGGATTTTAATGAATGGTCCTGACCATAAAGAAATATTTGGTGATAACCGATGACAAAGGAGACAAAAATTTCTCACTAAATTCTACACTCATCCTCTAATGTGTCCTTTCTCAATATAAAATTAACAATGATAAATGGTTTGACCAGACCAAACTGTTTATCTCAAATAAACGGTGAGAAAACCCAGACTAAACTTGTGCCCCGATTAGAAGTAACCAATAACCAACACTGGCCACCTACAGAAATACTGAGTGTTTAATGTCTTCTTGTTATGGACAGCAACTGTAACTATTTTATAGAATATGTAGGACTTACAGAAATGTTACATAGTCTAGGTTCAATACACACATTAAAAAATACACTATCATTTCTTTCAGTAAGATAAATAGTTTTCACTTTTTGAATATTTGCCACACTTTGATAAAGCTGAATGTGCTTTTGCATAAGAACGCTCATGATCGGAAAGTATATTGAAACTTGAACAGCAAAACGGACAGACGCAGTTTACCACACAACCTCTCTAAATGTACTAAAGGAATAATCCCAAGTAACTGGTTATATTGGGTTACAATAGCATTATAACTGCCTCACCAGCATGTACCACTTACACACCCTTCTTGTGTTCATTCCAAGATTCATCTCCAATATTATATACTGTATTGAGTTTGTGTATCTGTTTGTTTTGAGTGAATGCAAAACCGACTTGGATGAAGATTAACTGAAAGTTTGATCTTGGACCCGGGTAACAAACATGGTTCATGTCCTAAATTTCTCTTGGATTACGCCCTTGGATGTCCATTGCTCCAAGATAGACTGCAAACATCTCTATACTCCATGACAACAAAGAGAATACTAAAATGTTTACATTTGCTCTGTTTAAATTGCTAAAATGCAACTTTCATAAGGGAATCAAACATTTCAGAAAATTGTAAGGTTATGACACCTCTGCTTGAATGAAGAGTCTTGATGCGAAATTTTCAGGAAAAATGTTAGTTTTTGATAAACCCTATTCTAAAAGGGCATGAACCATAATAGTCTGTTCACAAAATTTTTGCAAGTTAGACCAATTCTTTTGTTGAACATATATGTTGCAGCTGATTGACGTTTTGGCAAACCTCAGCTATTAAGATAGTTAAGGTAGGATCAAGTGGAGGGTATAAATTTATTAATCTAAATCGCCTAAATTTTGTGAACGGAGTATAATGGGTTGTATTTAATAACATTAAAAATATATTCAATATAGTACTTCGGCTGTTACATTTTGTTATTAGTAATATTTTTTTTTGATTCTTTACATTAACTGTCTAATGTTGATATCTATATAGTTTTCATCACTAGGGCATAAAGTGTCTCTTTTGGACCTGAGCTCTAGTTTCACAGCCGAGGTTGGAAAATGAGCGAGTGTTGAAAAGACACTTTTTGGCCGTGTGATGAACATAATAGATACACAAAGATAATAAACAAATCACAAATAATAGATATATACAGAATATTTTTTGTATTATAGCAACACAATTCAACAAACTAAGTTAGAAAACAAAAGTACTTTTCATTTAAAGATAATCTCTAAAAAAATTTCCAATTTGTTTACAATTTTGTTAATGCAAATAAGCAGCTGTATAGTAAATCTTACTAATATCATAAATGTGAAAGTTTGTGTGTTTGTTTGTTTGTTTGAAGTTAAATCACGCTTTAACTACTGGTCGGTTTGGGCTGAAATTTGGTATGATGATAGCTCACATTCCCGATTAACATATAGACGTATTCGTATCTCAAAAATCCTTTCGGGCTCCGCCCCAGTGGCTCTGTAGTTTCCCATGTTAACCTTATGAGTATTCATATTTAAAAAGGATTTTTGGCAGCTGTTTCAATTACACAAGTTGTTCTATGATATTCACTATTGATGTGTTGATTAAAAATAAGCTACAGCCGAAGCAATCAATCGATAAATAGTTTTGATATAAGCAAGTTTGCATCTGTGTTTACAACAGTTGATTTTTATTCCATTACGACTAAAAAGGCCTTTTACTCCCTAGTGAGTAACAAAAATACTTTAGACCCGCAATACATGTATTAAAGCAGCTCAATTTTCATTAAAATATTTACCAAATTTCAAATTGCTACAAAAACCCGATATCAAATAAATAAAAAATAGTTTTGTAAAAAATAAAATATAAAATATGGAGGCTGAAGGCTGATTGTCTTTGGTTTAGGAATGATACTTGGTAAAGGGTCAGCAGAGAGTTCAGGGACCCCTGTAGAGTAGACTTTCTTTTAACCGGACTACTCTCGGCAGAAATGACATCTCTTTAACCGGAACCGGACTAGATCGGCAGGAAGTGGGTGGTACTGGAACTACTGTTCTGGTGGGAAAGATTTGAGACAAGTGATCACGTGTCTAAATGCAATGCTCTCCTAAATTTATTTCAAACTTTGTATACAGTATTCATTCAATCGGTCCATACTAACGAGTTTTAGGGGACGTCCGTTTAACCGGAAAACCCGTTATCCGGACTGGCCGCGGTCCCGAGGAGTCTGCATAAGAGGGAGCCTAGTGTATTCCTGTATTATAAACAAAGCAATACCTTATTTTTGTCTCGTGATCTACTTCTGAGGAATCCTGGGATTTTGATTCCTCCAGTAGGGATCCTCTTCCTTCCCCCTTCTCTTTCCGCTGCTTCTTCAAGCGCCTTCTTCTTTTTCTCTACCTCCCCTATTTCCTTTTTGTTCTCATCGTTCAACATCTTCTCTTTTTCTTCATCTTCAATGTCTTTTTTATCCTCAGATTTTTCAATCTCAATAATTTCTTTGGCGGGAGCTTCTTTTTCCTTTATGGGCTCAACTGGTACTTCTTCAGACATATTGATCTATAACAAAGAAATTATGTGTAAATATATGAATTTTTCAAAGTTAAAATGGCATACAATAGCACATAAATCTTAGACTATTATGTAACATTTTAATGTATCAGAATAAGAGCTTAATCAGTTATGAATACAGTGCTGCCACTTGGGCATTTTAAAGCTGAATAAAATGAATAGAGAGGTCATCCAGTGGTCGAAAACTCAACAAAAAATATGTAATGTCAGACTTCTTATTTTCACCCTAGGCTGTAAATAAAACATGTGATTGGAATTTCTTCCATTTGTTTTGATTTTCTGTTTATATTGCGTTCTTATTTCGTCACCAGCATGGCAACCTATAAGGTCCATGTAAATTTTTTTAAATTTAAAATTTATTTTTTATGATTATTTTTTTAGTCTACTTTAATTTATGAAGAGATTCTGCACATCAAAAAAAATATCTTTCCAGCAGTATGCGTAGATTTTCCCTGTGATGCACATAAGCTGCGAAACACGGTTTTAAAGAAATATGCTTGCCTATTAAAATATGGATGTGAATAAAGAATGGAGTAAAATGACCTGTTTAGCTTTGTTACATAACCAATAACCACTCTGTTCAATTGCCCCTTTAAACTACGAAATACTTTAAATAAAATACCCCCACCACAGCAAACCTGCAGACTAAGTGAATTTCCATTTGCCTGATTGAATGTTCAATAAAATCTACTCAAGTAACATTAGATTTAACAAGTATCGAGGTTTGCCGCTATGGTCTCAAAATAAGGAGAGTAGTAAAGTGTGTTTTTAAGTAAAATATTAATAGCTTGGTATGAATATAAAATTAATAAATTTGCCACGTTTGATCAAAATATCCATAGACAATCAAACTGCAACAGTTGACTTATTTTCCATAAAAATAACATGGGAATTTAAAGTTTACTATTTTTTTTTCTTTTCTCCATTGCCAACAACCGTACAAAAACACTTCAATATGGAAAAAATGTTTTTAAGCTCTTAAAAATGGTTTGAAGAGAAGTTGGGAATTTTATATTTTTGGGTTCAAAAATGAGAAAAACAAACTTTTTACCTCATAAAACCCTGTTCACATGGTCCGATCATGATGGTTAGCAAACTCATCCATGTTTATCCTAGCCTACATCTTCAAGCCAAATTTAATCTAAATCGGACAACAAGTTATTGCGTTCACGAACGTATATATATTAAAATGGACTTATTTTAAAATATGTATATATAACAATTTGAGCGAATAGTGTTTTTGGTCTCTAGGGACATGAAAACGAAAAAGTATATCGGTCCCAACTCCAGGTCTTACTGTTGCACCAACAATTTGCCAAAAACCAAAAAAATTCTTCACTAACAATTATTCCAATAAAGGATCATCCTCTAGTTGTCTTATTACAAAGTAATTGTTATTGCTATTGCTCTAATAATGTAAAAGGGACGGATTTCAAAAGGGAATATCTTATGTATGAAGATGAAGGGGAGAAAAAATATACCCATATAGAAGTCTTTTGCAGATTTTATTTTTGAATTCCTCTGTGAATTTCTTGAAAGCTAGGTTATAGTCCATGACTGTGAATCGTCACAGATTTACCCAATCTGTGCTAAGCTCGATCTAAGCTTGATGTAGTTATTTTAGTGTTCATGTTATATGGAAGATATGTCCATATAGTGGGGTGAAAATGAATATTGGAATTAAATTTGCACGCTGGCGTAAACAGGTTTATATTTCATACTTCCCCTTCAGATTCACTGGTGTGGCACTAATTAATTTAATCTTCCAGTCTCCCTAATAATTTAAATGGCAACATTGTATTTTCAATTTTATTGTTTGGTTAGTGTCAAATTACGTATTTGATTGCTGACAACTTATTTGAATGCATGTCAACAAAATTTTTGGAAAAATCAAAAATATATCTCTAAATAGTTTCCTCCCAGTTACAGACCTATCATTTCATTACAGTATTTCATCCGTGACATTCTCTTAAACATTGTTGAGGTTTTTTGTTTTGAATTTTAAAATTATATGTGGTTGAAAATCTTTGTGTTGTGAGACATTTTATTTCATAACACCTGTTAATTTCTATTAATTATTATCATATGTTTATTTGTTATTCTATGTTTGTATAAAGGTAAATAAAGTGAGTTGAGTTAGAGTTATGACATAAAACAGTGCATTCACTTAATTCTTAGTCAAATAGTACATGGTGGCAGCGGTTTAGAGCTATGCCTCAGAAGAGAAATCCAAGAAGGAAACAATCTGACTATGAAGATAATGAAAATGAAAGAAGCAGAGAAAACGAATACAACAATTCAACTAAGAAGTCAATCATTGTATCAAACACTCATTCAGTAATTCAACCTCCAGCTAGTTTCTCCTTTGTACCAGCAGATTGGCCAAGATGGAAAACACGATTTCAAAGATATCGGTCAGCATCTGGGCTATCTAAAGAGTCTGAGAACAAACAAATCAACACTCTTATATACACATTAGGTGAGAAAGCTGATGAGATTTTTGCATCTTTTAATTTAGCAACCGAATCTACGCTAACATTTGAAGAAGTCTTAGATTTATTTGACAAACATTTTATTCCACGGAGGAACTTAATTTTTGAAAGAGCAAAGTTTTTGAAGAGACAACAAAAAATTAATGAAACAGTTGAAGAGTTTATAGTTAGTCTCCATTCCTTGGCTAGAACCTGTGACTGGGGTTCACTTAATGATGAAATGGTGTTGATGGTACTAATACTGGGTTTAAATGATGAGAAACTTAGTGATCGCTTGTTGCTAGATCCCGAGATGAATTTAGACAAGGCCATTACAGTAATAAGACATGCAGATAACGTAAAGAAAGAGAAGGCAGATTTATGTGATGAGAAAAGAGTTCAAATTGAAGCAACTACGTCATCGAGTTCAAACCAAAATCAAGGATATAGGTTTCGTCAAAAGAAACAAGAATACCCAGCGCAATGTATCTGGTGTGGTTATAAACCGTCTCATCCAAGAAGCACGTGTCCAGCAAAAAGCGCAACATGTAACTTATGCAAAAAGATTGGTCACTTTTCGAAGGTCTGCAGATCTAAAGAAGCACAGGAAGTAACTGATGAAAATGAAGTAAGTGAACTTGGACCTTCAAATAATAAGGTATTCATAGGTACACTTGGGGATGGGTCAAAATGTAAGCCCTGGAAACTAGAATTACTATTTGAGGGAAAGCCACAAACATTTAAAATTGATTCAGGGGCAGATGTAATAGTAATTCCCCCTGGCATAGTTGATCCAAGTAGGATCCAGCCGACTCTAGTTGAGTTGTTTGGGGTTGGTAGAACAAAATTAGAAACTGTAGGTTGTGTTAGAGCTAATATCCAATACAGAGATGTTAAAATAAATCACATGGTATACGTAGTGAAGGGACTCATAACACCCTTGCTTGGTCGTCCAGCAATACAGGACTTGAAAATTTTAACTTTTGTTAATTCAGTTGCAGAGGTAGACAGTGACTTTTTTACCGAATACCATGAAATGTTTAGTGGTCTGGGCGTCATTCCTGATCCCTACACAATAGCACTTAAGGATGGCGCAAAGCCATACGCAATAACCACTCCTAGGACAGTACCTTTACCCCTAATGTGTCAAGTGAAAAAAGAACTAGAAAGTATGGTCCAAAATAATGTAATCACACCAGTTGAGCATGCTACTGAATGGTGCTCAGCAATGGTAGTAGTGCCTAAATCTAATGGAGATGTCCGCATATGTGTTGACTTAACAAAGTTGAATGAATCCATCCAGCGGTCTTATCATCCGATTCCCAAAATTGAAACGTCTCTCAGCTCAATTTCAGGAGCAAAATGGTTTTCAAAACTTGATGCAAACAGTGGTTTTTGGCAAGTCCCCTTAAATGTAAATTCCCAGGATCTAACTACTTTCCTTACCCCTTTTGGACATTTTAAATTTCTCAAACTTCCATTTGGAATCACATCAGCACCTGAACATTTTCAGAAATGCATGAACAAAATCTTAGACAACCAGTCAAATGTCGCAGTCCATATGGACGATATTCTGATTTGGGGCAAAACGAAAGAAGAACATGATACAGTTGTTCGGCAAGTACTTGAAAAGCTTAAAAATGTAGGAATGACACTTAACAAAGACAAAACTGAGTTTGGGAAGTCAAGTATTAAATTCCTCGGGCATTTCCTCTCATCCGATGGAATTTCTGTTGATAAGGAAAAGGTTTCCGCCATTCTCAAAATGGACTGCCCAAAAAACGTAAAAGAACTTCAAAGGTTCAATGGGATGGTAAACTTTCTTGGTAAGTTTATTCCTGACAAAGCTAAGATTTTGGCCCCAATGAATTCACTACTTCAAGCTAACGTTCCATGGATATGGGGTCCAGAGCAGGCGAAGGCATTTGATGAAATAAAACTCTTTTTGACCAACTCTCCTTGCCTAGCTATTTACGATGTAAATCGGGAAACAATTATCTCATGTGATGCCTCGCTTCAAGGACTAGGATCAACTCTTTCTCAAGTTCAAGATGATGGTTCTATACGACCAGTATCATTTGCATCCCGAAGCCTTCTTCCTTCTGAAAAAACTATGCAAACATCGAGAGGGAGGCTACAGCTGTTGCTTGGGCATGTGAAAAGTTTCAAGAATTTATTATTGGCAAGAGAATAACAATACAAACAGATCACAAACCACTGCTTCAAATTTTGAAGTCCAAACATCTTGATGAATTGTCTCCAAGAATTCAAAGAATTCGATTGCGTCTCATGAGATATGATTTTTCAATTACTTATATTCCTGGAAAGCAGCTTCTAGTTCCTGATGCTCTTTCAAGAGCACCTCTCCCATTTTCAGGTACTGATGACCGTGAGTTAGAAGAAGAAACTCAAGCGTTTGTTCAAATGGTTTTGTCATCCATCGATATAAACGACTGCATAGTTGCTAAAGTATTGGAGGAACAAAATAAAGATCCGACTTTACGTGAACTGAAAAAA